AAATTCGTAATATAATCTGAGTGTTATTGTTTTCAGGTTATTTAATTCGAAAGAACTTGTAAAAACCAAAGTGTTCAGTTATTACTTACTAATCGAACATTATCTAGCAATGTCCAACAACTGAGAATATTGAGAATACACCTAGATCGATAACTTCAAATCCTTAGTGAGGTGTTCTGGGCGGTATATATGTAGGAGATAATCTAGAGAGGTCAATAACATAACAAATATGTGAATAAAAATCCAAGTTAATGAAATGATAGTGTGACAGTGTATTATAAAAAAAATACAGTAATGAGTTATATTAATTTAACGTTCACTTAAAATATATAGTTAAGGCGCACAGCTACAAATTATTGATATAATCCACAGAAGCGTTCACTGCTGGAGTCGTATCCACTAGTAGAAGCTGTGTACCGGTTGTAGAATAGTCTTCGGATGAGGACAAGAGGTTCCTACAAAAATTCAAAGTATACAACACGGTTTTGAGTGATGCAAGTAGACAGTATAGACCGGTGGGAAGACGAAGCGACCAATAGTACACTATATTTTAGATTGTACTTGGAAGTTATCTATATTCCAACATGAATCGTTTTAAACAAAAATCATGTACAAAGTCTCTAATTTCAACACTTAACAAAAAAAGTACAAAGATATTGTTACGTACTCCCCAAATATATATATATGTCCCCACCCAAAACGGGCTTACTCCTCACTTCATTATAAGTCACATATGAACTGGTATTCGAACTGTGGACAGTAATTGGTGAGCAGTGGTAAACTGACAGAAAAACTGGTATTAATTAGCTGGAAACTTAATTAACAAAATTTGAGTTAATTACAAGGAGTATCATCAGTAATGTGCTTACAACATTTAATGTTTATTTCTATATTCAAAAGTTTAAATGAACTAAATTCCAAAAATGACAAAAAAGTGAAAGACAGTTCAGACTAGAAATTTTTCTTTATCGATGAAGTCAAGTTTAACTAGCTGTAAAGTAGTATTTGTATGTACTAAGGCATATAGTAGTCTACAAATGGAAAATGAGCGTTTACGACAAGACTGATGCAGGTACTCAGGAACAGTTTCTGCAGAAAAAGAGAAATTGATCACTATTAAAGGATGAAATGGTTAGTTGAAAAGTAAGTGGTTGAGTGTTCACTTGATAAATGTAAGCAAGTTGAAAACATAACATGGACTGCTAAAATGCACGAACGAATACATGAAAGTGTCAATAGTGGATTATTGACAGAAAACAAAATCGGACAAATAGGGTGACGTTTATGCGTATAGGGGAATTGGAGACTGAATTAACCTCTTTAGCACACATACTTTGGGGGTGTATGGAAGAATCTTTAGCCAAAACACTTGTGACACTATTCGAAATCTATTTGATAATAATAATTTCGAAAATGCGCTCCGGTGAAGCCGAGTGAATTCAGTGAACCAGATGGTTTGCGAACTAAGGCTAGTAATCAACTAGTATTCTCCTCTTCATAAAAATGTTGGACAATGTTCTGAGAACCATTTCAAAAGTGTGATCCTGGTTAGACCAAATCACCACATAAGTGAATGTATATTATCTAATCCCAAAAAATCAACACACCGATCACAAAGGTTGGATTATTAATAGGAACACAAATAACATATGTCATTATTATTTATTATTATTATTATTGTTATTATTATTGTATCCTTTAGTTCCTAGAGGAACATAGGGCTTCAGCTGCGCGTCTCCATTACCTTCAGTTTTCTGACAACTTTTTCACTCCACTCCAAGTCTACACATGCTTTCATCTCCTCTTCACATGACCTCCTCCAAGTCACCCTCGCACTGACGACCAGCTCGCTGCTTCCCTTTCGAGTTCCACTCCAGGGCTTGTCTAGTGATGTCACTTGATGGTTTCCTCAGCGTATGGCCAGCCAATCCATCTCCATTTCTTCCTGACTATTTGTAGCACAATTGGTTCCTGGTTGGTTCGCTCATCGCCAGAGATCCCTGTTGGTGATCTTTTCTGACCGGCCATCTGATCTTGAGTATTGAGCGAAGACAACTGTTAATGAAGGTCTGAAGTTTGTTTGAGATGCTCTTTATGACGCTCCAAGTCTCTGATCCGTATAGTAGCACTGACTTCACACTGGAGTTGAAAATCCGGATCCTATTTTTGATCCTGAGTGCTGTTGACCTCCACACAGACTTAAGAGTAATGTAAGCTCGTCTTTCTTTCCCGATCCTTGCTTTGATATCCTCGTCAGTTCCGCTTGTAGTTGAAACGATGCTTCCCAAGTAGGTAGGTAGGTAGGCAAAGGAGGTTGTTTATTTCAGGTTCCTCCCATTTATGCTGGCTGATTCTTGTCTGTTGTTGCTGGTGGTGTTGGCCAGGAATCTTCATCACCTCTGTTTTATATATGTTCACTTGAAGTCCTATCTTTGATGCTTCTTCTGCCAACTTGTTGCTTTTCACTTCCTTATCTTCCAGTTTGTGGGAAATCAGACACATATCATCGGCGAAGTCCAGATCCTCCAAGTCTCTTTTTGTGTGAGTCCATTTTATGCCTGTTTCCTCATGGCCCGTTGTCTGTCACATTATCCAATCTACTGCAATCAAGAAGATCATTGGCGATAATAGACAGCCTTGCCTCACTCCCGTCCTCATTTAGAAAACTTCTGTAAGTTTCCTGCTGTGGATTACTTGGCATGCAGCATTGTCGTACAACTTTTGGATGAGATGTATAGTTCCCGATGGCACCCCGTAGTAGCGAAATAGTTGCCAAATCACCTCTCGATCGACTCTGTCGAAGGCCTTTTAAAAGTCGATGAAGTTGAGATAGAGAGGTGACTGCCATTCCAAGCTTTGTTCAATGATGATCTATAGTGTGGCGATTTGATCAATATATGACTTGTTTCTCTTAAATCCAGCTTGTTCCGGTCGAAGTTTTTCACCTAGGGCTTGTTTGATTCTCTCCAGGCTGACGCGGCTTAGTATTTTGCTTGGGATGGACAAGCGCATGATTCCGCGCCAGTTTTTACAGTGACTTAAGTGCGTCGGTGGCACAGTGGTTAGGACTCTCGCCGAACATGCACATGGTCCGGGGTTCGAGCCCACGCCGGCACACACCTGATATCTATGGTCGGCCTGCAAAATTTGGGCTACCGATATCCACGCTGAAAATTCCATACTTGTACCAAAAATACAGTATGGAATCAAGCTGTAAATCAAAAATAAAAAATAAATAAAAATAAGTCTCCTTTCTTTGGTAGTTTGAATAAGTATCCTTTCTTTCAATCTTCAGGTACTTTGCCCTCTTTCCACACCTTCTCCAGCAGTGGCGTCATCAAGTCCGCTGTTGTCTATGGGTCCATTTTCAATGTTTCTGCTGGGATTCTATCTGGTCCTGCTGCTTTTCCAGCTTTTAGCATCTTGATTGCATTCAGGACTTCTGATTTCGTCGGGGGGTCAATGTTCACTGGTAGTTCTGCTTCCGTAGTTGGTATTGTTGGGCGCGTTGTAGGTGGCGGTCGATTTAGAAGTCTTTAGAATTGTTCAAATCAGTATTTATTTTGCTCCACCTCTTTGGTGATTGACTTTCTATTGTCATTCTTTACTGGCTTAATCTGTGTCGAACTTTTGCCCGATGGGTTCCTAGTTGTTTGGTAGAGTGTGGTGAGGTCTCATTTGCCTACAGCTTGTTCTGCTTCACTTGACATGGCTTCATAATATTTTCTTTTGACTTCCCTGGCACTCTTCTTCACTCTTTTGTCCAGCGTATTGTAGCTTGCACTCAACTCCTGTTTTTGTTGATCGTCGATGCATTGGATAATCTTTTGTTTCACTATCCTTCTCTCCTCTATTAGTTTCCAAGTGTCCGCAGTGAGCCACTGTTTTTCCTGCCTCTTCTTTCTGCCTAGAACTTCCATGCAGGTTTGACTCCATACCGTTTTCAATTTGTGCCAGTGCTTTTCGGCGCCGACCTCTTCGCTAGTGTTGATTTGTATCTCGGTTTTTTCCCTTATGTTTGCAATGAAGACATCCTTTGTAGCCTGGTCCTTCAGTTTTTGAGTGTTGAACTTGGCATGTGTCATTAAGAAGTGAAAATTGTAGATGAGTTAATTAGTGTAACCATAATTTGTGAGAATATCATATTTCAACTAATTATCATATTCCATTTGTGGAACTAAGACTGATTCTGATATGGATTTCATTACGAAACAGAAGCAATTGTAGAACTGCTGAAAACACTATTCCCTGGTTAGAAATGATGGAGTAGTAAGATCACTGGGCATTGATTTCCTACCTATTGGCTAAACGGTAATCTGCTAGCCTCATAAACCATCTGTTTTGCTCCTGATTTGTTCAGAAACCATGAGTTTGTGTCGCAGAAGAGTGCCGAACTAAGGTTAAAGACTTGTACAGTGTTTCTTGTTTCTCATTAGTTGGGTTATGAAACATGTATTTGCGATAAAATGCACTTTGATCCAATATAGTTTTTGAGATTATTATTTTTGTCAGAAGTCAATATTTTTCTTGCTCTTAATACAGCCTGATGAGATCTATGGATGTAGGATTAGAAGGAAGCTTGCTTAACACTTTAAGCTCATCGATTTTGTTGACGACAATACCAAACAATTATTTCGCATATAAAATCGCTTGTTTTGTAAATTTAGACGATGAAATTTACAACTTTTAAATGCGATTCCTTAATTAAGGTACTTAAGAAAGTGCTCACAATGAAGCTATAAAGATAATACCCAAATATAGCATTTTATTTGTTTGTTTTTTTTTCATTGGAAAATGCAAATAAACTATTTGTTTTAGTGACCTGTTCTCTAAACACAAACAAAATTCACTTTCATAACAATCATTTGTTCTACTTTACTCCTAAATTTTGTGTCCGATTTGAGCAATCACAAGCTGAAGTCTGTTTGATTGGCTGTTGTGGGCTACAGGTTGATTGGCCCACAATTTCGTCATATAAAACTCTCGTTAATTCATAAAATGAAATCAAAATTCTACCTGGTTCTATAAACAAAATGATTTTTAAAAAGAAATCATTAGGCGGTCGTATTTTTATTTGTAAAATAATCCTACTCACACTTTACACCATTCTAATTGTTCATACACATTTCGAATACTTTCGTTCAAAAGAGATTGTTTATAATTACACGCGTGAGATATTGATAATAGGAAATGCGGGACAAATTGGGAGTATTGAAACTTGCCGTACAGTTTGCGAAAATATTCAGAGTGTTTCCAGGCATAGAATAGATGAGTTCAAGCAAAGTGGAGCGATAACGGTGAATGCAAATTTAACGAATGCTGAAAGCATGATAAATAACACCTTCTCTCCACATCTAATCGGTGGCTCATGGATGTTTAAAGAGGAGAGCAATAATTCAGAATCAAATTGTGATCATGTCCCGAAATCTGGTGTTGCAATTATCTTTGTCTGCAAAAACAGATGGAAGCAACTGAATATCACACTATCCACACTAATCCCAATTCTTCAGAAGCAGCGTCTATGTTATCGAATATTTGTTGTTGAACAGGAAGATGACGGCCTTTTAAACAAAGCCATGCTTTTGAATATTGGATTTGCAGAAGCGAAGAAACGTTTTGACTTTGCCTGTGCAGTATTCCATGATGCTGACTTAGCACCATTGGATGACAGAATTCCATATGGATGTGATGAGCAGACAATGAAGACAGTTGTACACTTAAGTGTTGGTGTGAGTTCATGGAATTATAAACTTCCCTACAAAACACTGATTGGAGGTGTCTTGAAAATTTCAACTGAACATTTCTTAGCAACCAACGGTTATTCAAATAGTTATTGGGGATGGGGTGCAGAGGATGATGATTTAGAGAGACGTTTAAATGCTGCACATATAGAATACATTCACATAAATGAAAGTATTGCACGGTATCTGGCTTTACCGCATCCTATACAAACTCGTTCCAAATCCAAACTGCGCTATAGTCTGTTGTACAAAGCATCTGAGCGTATGCATACAGATGGCTTAAACAGTTTAAAATATAACATTACTATATTTTCTGAACAAAGATACTACACTTATTTCTTAATCTCAATTCATCAACCGTCTTAACTCTTTACGTTCATTACCCACCTAAATAGGTAAATCTAGCGAATTATATATTCACCACTGATTTTTCACGTCTTGCATGAGATTTTAGTGGCTTACATCACCTGATAAATATGTGAAAACTGATAAAATACACCCAGACTCGCTCGCACATAGAAAGGAACTTCACTCAGACAGAAATTATAGTGTGACCCATCTACCCAATTCAGCAATATCCCATCAGATTATATCAATCACTTTGAAATGCTTCTCTCCATTCAAATAATTCAAACTGAAAAACCACTGTCATGGAGTAACCTTCTGAAGGATTAATTATCCAACGCATTTATTGGCTGTGAACAGAATATGTATTTAACTGACTTCTCCTTCCAACTCATAATTTTTGCCTTGATAACTGTCTCAAATCGTATCTTCCCTGTACATCCATAAGACTTATAGTTTTATTGTTATTACAAGTATGATATTTACAGGTTTTATAATTGTCATTGCCTTTGACTTGACAGTTATTGATGATTTCATATTCATCTCTAATGCTTCACTTGTCTGAGTCACCACTTAAAACTTCTCTCATCAGGTGTGTAAATTTATAGATAACAAAAGAGTATCTGCTTTGATATTTTGTCATGCTTAAGCTTAATTACTTGTTACCAATCGAAAGTTCATTTACGGAGTTGTAAATGTTTGTAGTAAGTTTGATTGTTCTTTTAATTTACTTTATGTCTCTCATCATTCTCATTTTTGGGTTTATTTTTAAGTGCACTACTCACACATGAATCATCTTGCTTCACTTTTCACTCATCATTTCTTCAACACGACTAGATTTCTTTTGCCTATAGAGAAAAAAAAGAAGCTTAGGAATAGAATAGCATTATTGTTAAAATGTGCTCTTCTCTTCTATTAATCGATTGTTGAAATAAAAGACCGAACATTCCTTATATTTCTTCATTGAATACCCTAGAAATCGCCATTCTCTGTAAAGTATTTTTATTCTTCATTTCATCATTTCATTAATTATTTGTAAATGTTATTTAATAAGCAAGATGTGCAAATCTAGCCGTTATCCTTTGCCTACTTATCCAGGCAACAACTTTATTACACAAATAAAGATCTTTAGATGTTGATTCTTAATTTTTAATACCTGATTCGCTTGTACACTGTATAGTGTGAATTAAGTCAGGTTAAACTGTGAAAGTATTAAGACTTCGCTTGGAATGTTTACCTGTTGCTCAACTGCTTTTTTTTTGTTAGGCTTTGATATTCACTCAATGAGATTGGCATCTAGGGTGAGAATAAATTCATGCTAAAAGTCTAAAATAAATATTTTTATTTTTTTTATTTTTGATTACAGCTTGATTCCACACTGTATTGTTGTTCGTACAAGTATGGAATTTTAGGCATATGATATTGGTAGCCCAAATTTTGCACGCCGACCATAGATATCAGGTGTGCGTCGGCAAGGGATCGAACCCCGGACCATGTGCCTGGTCGGTGAGAATCCTAACCACTATGCTACCTACGCACATATATGTCAAGATATAGAATGTAGATACCAGAAACTTTAACCAATGTGATGAGAGTTATGAGATTTCCTGTCTTACTAATTGAGCTGCAGGCTATTTTTAGCCACTGAGGTAGAGAAGCGTGTAATGTCGTACCTGGATTCTAAAAATAACTCGTATTTAAAAAGTTATAAGCGTCGACTGACCTACCACAACGAGAAGTGATTGTAGCGTGACCTAAGTGTGTCTCCCTTGAAGCTAACATAAATAATTGTGACGAACAGAGTTGCAAAAAAAAACAAATGACTCACTGATCTTAATTGTAATGATCAACTTGTTTCATTTGCCACTTAGATTTAACTCCTGGAAGTTCCCTTTAACGCGGCTTTACTTTTTCCTTGGAAAACAATACATAGAACTTATATAATCTCTCGTCTCTATGTTGACTGATGTTTTATTCGATGTACTTTTATGCTCATATAACTCTCACTTCAGTTTGTCAGTGTTTTCGAAACATAGAAGCATTTGTAAACTTATTCTTCAAGAATTTACTGAATTAAATGATTCAGTCAGTATGCACAGAGTACATGCCAGCTATGAAACAGTCAAGTAGTGTTCTCTCTGTACCTGTTTGATGTTAGATATTGGGTCTTTAGACTTCAAAAGGCTAGAATCTACATTTATTTTTATTCCTTCACGTTCCAAGTGGAACATAGGGCTTCAAGCTAGCTAGCCTCATACCCAACCTCGCCCTCTTTACTAGTCTTATTACTGGTATAGCGAGGTAAAGGACTGTGTTGGCCGGAGATCGAACCCTAGACCACATCGGTCTCAGGTGAGCATTCTACCGCTATACCTTCGACGCACAGAATCTACATACATTACTAATTTAACTTATAAGGAGAAAGTAAACAGTGATGAATAATTCCCATCAATAAGAAAACAAGACAAGTATTTCAGAGAAGAATTCTTTTTCGGAGAATTCACTTCCCTTAGCTGAACCATCACATTTATATACAATTTTTTCTCGAAACAGTGAATATTAAGGGAGGGATAAATCATCATTATGCGTATAGTTGCTAATATTGATCATTACATATATGAGAAGTTGAATAAAGGTGGTAGAATTATGCAATAAGATAAATATTTTATTTTTTTTTATTTTTGATTACAGCTTGATTCCACACTGTATTTTTGGTACAAGTATGGAATTTTCAGCATGGATATCAGTAGCCCAAATTTTGCAGGCCAACCATAGATATCAGGTGTGCGTCGGCAGGGGATCGAACCTCGGACCATGTGCCTGGTCGGCGAGGTTCCTAACCACTGTGCCACCAACGCACATAGTAAGTGAGTTGTAATCAGGATGCACAAAAGAACAAAGACAATTCTATGTTTCCTGAGAGTCCGGGAGGACAAATGAGTCTGAAAATGTAAGAGAAACGAACAAACAGTTAGTTTAGAGAACATCATCCAGCATGGCTGCAAAGAGTAGGCACTGATTCAATCAGAAGCGCAATAACTGAACACCTCGTCAATACCCGTCACAGAATCTCATCCGACTTATCATTCAAAGTCATTTACAAACTGAACAAAAATCTACCAAAGACAGTGTGTTTCCGACTTCTTTGTACTGCGGAGGCTCTCGCCATATGCATCGAAAAGCCGGAGCTATGTGTTCAAAAGAAACTAGTCCAGCCTCTACAACTACCATGGACCTATTTCGGTATGTTCCCTTATCCTTCTTTTTTGTTGTTTTGTCATCTCTGTGTGTAATTTTCTCTCTTTGCCTTCATTCAGTTAATCCTATTTTTTCAGTCTTAAAAGCAGTTATTTTAGGTTTGTTTCCATGCTCCTCCTAATCACATTTGTAATCCGTTTAGAATAACCATTTTACAATTATATTCTAATCCTGTGTAATTTTTTTTGTTTCTATGCCTCTTGTAATCTATATTCACACCTCCTAACTTACATTTCAAGTTGAAAATTTTGATTTCAATTTGTTTCCATGCTCATTTTGTTCACACCTGTAGTTCGTTCTATCCCTGTGACTCTAAGCCTCTTGTAATTCATATCAAGTTGAAAATAATTATCACCTTTTATTTGCCTTTAAAATTATCTCTCCAATTATCAAATATTAATTTGCATACCTTGTAACTGTTTTCCAAACCTATGAAATCTTGTCTCTAAGCCCCTTGTAATCTATATTTGTACATTCAAACTTTCATATCAAGTTGAAAATTCTTATCACCTTCGTTACTATGCGGAATTAAATAAATAGTAATTGTATCCCTGTAAACTAATCTATATAAATGCGATTGTACAGCTTTTGAGAATGAAATCGCCTAAAAGATACCTTTGCTGAACTTCGTGTTCTTTTCAGTCTAATTAAAATAATATGGTCCTTACTACGGCAAGAGAAGTGGATGGAAGATTTTCCTTTGTATTCACAACTCCAATTTCTTCATCTGGCTGGTTAGAGCTTCAGGAGTGCAAAGAAGGCTACAGCAGATAGTATAAGGTAGGCTGCTTTTCACTTTGTAAGTCACGTTGCTGAGACAAAATGGCCATTATCTACAAAGTGTTCAATTATTGCACTTCACATTGAGCCGCTGCTTTCTTTCTACAACCATACATTGTTCGACACGGATCCTGTCTCAAAGGGTTCAAATGTGTTCATTATCTCTTTGTTCAAACTAATTTGGGGGAGTGGTTGAATGGGACTGTGCATTTTCCTTTAGACTTTCTTATTAGACTATAATTATTGATCGTTTTAATTACACTCATAGCATTTTACTGCAAATTACATCATCGTCTTTCCACTAGGTTTCTGCAGCCATTCAATCAGAATGAATCAGGTCTTCAAAATAATCAATATAGAGAGAAAAGGCTAGCTGCTTTGCCTCAAGAGAGCCATTCTCTGTGTACAAAAACATAGTGTGATTGATCTCTCACTACTATGGTGACTAGACGTCTCTAGTTTGTTTTTGTTGAGTCACATTTTGTTTTCTTTTCCTGATTACAGCTCACTGATCTGAACTCATTATTAATCGTTCAGTTTATTTGGTTGTTTGTTTATGTAATAATTTTAATTTAACTTACCATTTCTTTTCATTCTTACCCTCTCCTTCGGAAAATTTCATCTGTTCCATAATTGCACTCTTTGAGTTAAAATAAGTTTGAAGTATGTTGTATATTTTCGCATTCATAATAACTTATGTCATTTTTAGACTGTTAGAAGCTGATGATAATCTGTGAGAGAAAAAAAGAAGTATTTTATCCTGCAAATGTGTTTATTCCCTCCTTTTTTAAAAAATGTGAAAAAACCAAATGATGAAACCAGGAAATGAGAGGGTATTAAGGAAGGAGGTAACGGCTGTAATTAAGCTCCAATAATATACTGCTTTTGGACACACAGGTCGGGTTTCAACCGAAGAAGACTTTGGTTGTTCCATCTGTTAATTATTTTAAAAGCTGCGTCAGCAAAGTTCATCTCTTTGCTTTGAACATCCTGTCTGCTGGTAGAGTAGAAAATCTACATTTAATCTTCATATCTTACCTTAAGCTATATATATATATATATTGTTAGAGTGAAGTTTCTAGAAAATTAATTGACAAGTTTGTTGTAAGGGTGGTAACTAAAAGTAGTAACAATTACATAGTTAGATAAGAGAAGATTAGACTTTGGTTTTGAAAAGGTCAAATGAATAGGTGATGATGTAATATGGTGAGCAGAACTCAAAAGGTCAAGGAAAATCATCTCTTATGGAAGTCAAACATAAGAAACGAGGAGACAAAGGGCATTGAAAAGATAAGTTAGTGGATTTAGAACACAAGGAATTAATAAGGGATGAGTCATCAGAGTAATTGGAGTCCAACAGCAGATTTCTATTGGACACATAGGTCATTTCAACTGTTTTATTGCGATAGCCACAGCAAACAGGAGAAGACTTCAGATGTTTTATCTGTTAATTATTTTGAATGATGCCATAGCGTCTATTCGGTTTCCAGTGTCTACCGTGTGTTTGATAATTTAAGAGCTTAATATACTTGGCCACTTTAACCAGAAGTTCCTTGGTACACTTTCAAAGAATCTCATGTAGGCTATTCTTTTTGTTCTTCTAATGGAAGTACTCCCGCAGGTACATGTGAATTGGTATATACATTTGGAGGTAATATATAAGGGGTACTTGTCTAACCTTGACTGCACCAACGAGGATGATATTAGGAGCGAAGAGACTACTTTTGGTGCAGGATACGTCTTGAACAGGTCTGCGTTTAATCTTCTGTTTATGATTCTCATAGTATCATCCCCTTTGAAGTTGAGTTTGATGAAAGCTGGCTACTTGCTGACCGTAGGTTCATCACGTTTCTTACATTTATTCTTACCAAATTTGTCAGTGAAACTTTATGGATCACCACTTTTTTCAAGCAATACTCAAGCAGCATTAGTTCACTGTCTAATTTATCAGGTGAGCATATTCTCTTCTTTATGGAGGAAAGCATCAAAGTCATCTACAAAGTACACAGAAATATTGCCAAAGGAGTACGGATTAAATTTCTTCAGACCACATAACCTATGGCAATCCACATAGTAAATCCTGAACCATTCATTCAGAAGTTTGTTCACTCACTGAGCGCACAGTGGACTTAATTCATCTCAACTCCTGATATATAAATTCAGTTAATTCTAATATTTTTTTAAAATATTTTATTATTTTTCTTATCTCTCACTACTATATTTCTACTTTTTATGACGCTGATCTTAACTTTCAATTTTATTAAACCTCTGCTCATTCCTATCAATTATTTAGCGTCATTCAATTTAACTATTTAATTTTGCTTTATAGTGTGTCGGTGGCACAGCGGTAGAGTGCTCACTGGCCATGCAGGTGGTCCGGGGTTCAATCCCCGATAATAAGACTGGTAAACAGGGAAGGTTGGACGTGGGGCTAGCAACCCCATCCAGTCAAAAATAAACACTACTGCTACTGGAACTTCAAGTCTCTAGCTTGAAGTCCTATGTTCCACTTGAAACACAAAGGAATAAAACAATTTAACTTCATGTTTCTACACTAATAATCCTTTTGCACTACGTAACCATCATCGAAATCTTATGATTTTAGTGACTCATCTTTGTTAATATCTCCACTGAAGTTTCAATTTATGTTCATATTCTTATTGAAGTTGTTATCAATGTAAATGTCCTCCTTATTATTTTCCCTCTTACTTGGGAAAGTGAAAAGAAAATTAGTTACGATATTGTATAACATATTGAAAATTCCACATTGTATCAAAACTACTGTTTGGAATAAAACTGCTGTTATTATTAGTGTACACTGGAATTGCTAATCTTATACAATCTACTCACCCTTAGTTGTTATTCAGTCATATAACTTTCCTATAAATCTTGTTGTTGTTTTTCTCTGATACGCCCTATCTGTCTCTTACTCCAGGAAACTTTATGTCCACTTCATTGGTTTTGTATGTACTGACTAACTCGATTGTATTATCTCATTTTAGCCACCAGTGGTTATTCTACAATCAATTATCAAGCTTATAGTATATTGGTGCGGCATTTATATCCACAAAACTTTTTATTCATTTGACTGTCACTCATTTGAGGGTGGGGGGCGAAGTTGTGTGCATTCGCATTGTAATTTCTCGAGTGTATACTATCTACCACTGCACACCATAGTTTATACAACTCCATCAATCGTATAGTTGGCCATATACCGCAACAATGACTTTTTTTACTGGCACTTGTATGGAGACAGTTTCGGGATTCATATTTAGCGATTTAAGATGGTGGCGGTGATGGAAAAGGGAGTAATTCTTCAAACGTTGTTGTCTCAAATGAAATTTTTAATTATCCTTATACTCAACTACATGGTGAGTATTAATGACATACTATACTAATATGCTATACGATGTTAGCTGTGTGATTACCATAACTGTTAATTATCGTTATTAGTCACCTCTTTGGTTAACATGATTACAATTCATTTGAACAATACATAAATCTATATACATGCACAATTAGATAAAACATATTTGAATCGCCTAATATAGTGATCTAATCGATCCATTATCCACTTTCTCTGTTGGTAGCAAGGTCATCTTAAATGATTAAATAACTACTCACTATCTCTCGTCTTTTAAATTAATTTCTTTTTTGATTTCCTGTGTTCATAAGAATTACAAATGAAAGAATGACACTTCTTCAATTTATGCACTACTAATGAATATATGATAGTGATGTATATCACACGTGTGGATTAATATTTGGAGGAATGAACTGACTGAGTGGTTTCATAGTCCTCTAATTACTGTATGGTAAAATATTTTTTGAATTAGATATAAATATACGCTGTTTTGGATTTTAAAACTAGCCTAAAATGTTTGACAGTTACTTCTTGATAGATAACATTGAAGTGAGACATAAATAGAATTCAACTGGAGGATGGTGATGGAATGATGATGGAATCCAGGATGCCCATTTGTCCCATTTGAAACTCATCATCTAGATGTACCTGCATTCTCCAGTGAGTGATGATGTTCCCACCGGGGCTCGAACTCAGTGACCAGTTGAGCGACATCGTATGCAGAGCGGATCCTCGAAAGGAAACCGAATGGAAAACGAAGAATTAGGCGTGGGTGTGACATCGAGAAGATTAAAACGTATGAACAAACGTGCAGCAAGCGGAAGGGGACTGTAGAGCACAGGACAGAATAAATTTAAGCGCTGAAATCCTATGTTCCACTGGGGACCTAGCGGAACAACAATAATAAAATTGTATTGTGATATTTATTGACTTGAATTTTTAAAGTTATGAAACAATAGGACTTGATGCAGCTCCTTTCTCATTCAACTTTCATCCGAGTACTTAGTGGTTTTATTTGTATTTCTAATTTAGCAGCATTTCACAGAAGTATTAAACGGTTAAAACCTGACTTTTGTGTTCGAAGAGACTCTGTAATAAATATATCTCCACCTTAGTAACTAGTTTTTCAAACTTTATTGAGTACACCGTCTTTTATTAAATGTATATTCTAACTTCTTTCCACTATTACTTAGTTGCATCATCGACTGTCAAGTCTCAAGCGTCTGATGTCTAACTAATTGATCTTAACTTGTTATTTTCTCCTATATCTCATGTGTGCATCAACGATTTCCTGATGATTTAGGTAATCTTATAGTTTATGTACCTAAATATCCTGTTGTTACCCTTCTTCCCTACTCTCTGTTATATTAGAGTAGAGCAGTATTTTTATTTTACTAACTTAGTGTTTCACTTCATCCATATATGATGATCATTCCCAGTTATTGTTCTATGACCTCAATTCCTTGTTTGATAATAATACTGATCGAAAGGGTATATGCACGGACGCGATATCACCAAATGCTACTGTCAGGCCTCTTATCCTTAAACACTCCGACCTTTGTCTCGCTAATTACCAGAATGATTATATCACAATACACGGCATAGGGTGTATGATGCAATCCGCTTTTAATATGCCAGTAATATTTTATTACTGATTTCAGTCTACATCACCTGAGAACTGACTAAGTGGTTCTTTATTCTTGACCTTGATGTTTAGCTCCTAAACTTAAGTTAGGCATTCAATTTTCATAGTAAATATGGGAAATGGTAAGATTCATCCCAGTTTTGCGCCTTTATATGTTGGCTAAAAATTCACAAGCATCTAATAAAGCTAGGGAGAGGGATAAAAACAAGAAAATAATCAGATTACTTATTCATATGGTGCGGAGTTATGATGTGATGTTTACTGATACAACATTACCTCCATTTCACAAGCCCAAAGTTCACCCTGTTCACTGTCAACAAACAAACGCCGTTCGCTTTGGACATCCTCTCCTATCTACTCACATTTTACGTATCACATCAGGGCTTACATTTGCCATAAGTAATGCGTTATGAACGCAGCTATCAGGCACTCCATCTTTGCAAATAATTGAAAATCAGAATAAGTGAAAACCAGTTATCACATATTTTATTGAATAGTTTCTTAATAAAAACTAATTTACAAGTGAGACGAGATATTGATATAATACTCGATTGTCATGGATATTACACTAGTTCCTGCTTCAAAGTTTCTGTGAATTCTGAAAACTGTAGTGGGACAAAGGTGGGTTGTATGCCGTCGGTGGAAAATGTTTTTTTTGTTCCATTCGGAAAAATAATAGTGATTAAAAATACAGGATGGATGAAATCAGAACAAAGTCGATTAAAAAGGATCTCCAATCCACGCAACAATATGC